ACACACACACACACACACACACACACACACACACACAAAGGATCAGTGATGTTCAATGTTCTGACCAGAAGCTTGCAGGAAGTGCACAAACATACGCGACAACACTGACACAGAACCTTTTCTGGTTTTTATGAAGTCCTAACTATCCATCAGGTTTCTCCTGCTTATCCAAAGACAGCCATGGTGACTTTGGATAAGCAGGTACTCCAGGCATCCTCCGCTCTACAGACACTTTCCAGCTTCTCCTCCAGGATCACGATGTGCTCCAAGGCCAGATAAGATATACAAATAACCTCTCCAGAGGGATCTGGGCCTGTGCAGAGGCATCAGAGCCCAGAACACCCTCCTTCCTGACCAGTGAGGTCACAGTCCATATCCCAGAAACCACATCTGTAATGTTGAGGGTCAACACATCTTCCACCCAGCCTGTCCCTGTGGGTGGCGACTCCACAGAGAAGGGATCATGGTAGGTATTCAAGTTATTTCTTCTGGCTGTGCTCAGCCCTCTGAATTCAGCCCTGTCCACCAACCTCTACTCTGGGGTCCAGATTCAGGAGGGGCCCCTGGTTTTTCACTTCCAGTGAGGTTATCCAGCACAGAGATTTCTGTTTCTCTCTGGTATTTTGAAGCGTTAACTGCTCTAGTGCTGAGAGGCTGTTCTGTCCTGGGCTCAGACACACAGAAGATGAAGGTGCAGGCAGGGTTTGAGCCACCGGGCATCAACCATCAGCTAACAGCTAACACCACACTGATGCCCATGCTGTGCGGTCTCACAGCAAGCAAACTGGTCTCAGGATTGCACTCAGGATTAGGCTTGCACTGGTCTATTAGCTTTAGGTCATCCCGAGGTTCGACTCTTGGATTAAAGGTCCAGAGCTTCAGGTTTTCTTGGGTTTTTGGTTCCTGTTGGATATGAAGAAGCGTGACCCCCATTTCACACCTGCAGCACCTCACTGCCCCCTGAAACCTTGTGTCGGTCAGTCTTATTCCAGGCGTGTTTACCTTCCTTGACGTCCATTTGAACACATCATTACACCAGACTCTGGAGCGACAAACCACAGGCTGTTGTGTGATGTTGTACCTGGAGCCCGCTGATGCATCTGTCTTCGACGGCCAGCCACACGGAGTCGGCCACCAGCTCGGACGTCCCCTCTCCAAACAGGATGTAGTAGACCAACACCCTGATGGACGGCACCATGGCGGGCGTCACCTGAAAGCTCAGGCTATGTTTGTTGTCAGCGTTGGAGAGAACCTTCTGGCTGCCGAAATCCACCACCTTCCCTTTAGAGATCACCTGAGGGAGCGCGGCACAATGTTGTGAGAAATAATACAAACAGGAACAGCAGCATTGTGTGGCAGCTTCTCTTTTTTTTTTCTTTTTTTTTTCCGCCTGTCCCATTTGGTTCTTTAATCATCAGAATTGTTGTCTGAAGACCAACAAGGATACCCAATGGATTTACTTTGCCAAATGGAGCATCGTGGCATTGCCGTATTGGTCCATTTGGTCGATCTTTGTTTTTATTATTTATTATATTTTATTTTCAGATGTTACAGACGCCCACAACCCCGGCAACACACCAACCAGGACCCAAGCCCCCGAGGCCCGGCCCGGGTCCCAGCCCAGAGACGGAGCGCCCCCAGAACCTCACGCCCATCCCGGACCCACCCAGGGCCAGCCAGGCTACCAGGTCAGTAACCCACGTCCGTCAGCACAGACCCTCCCCTAGCCCCGCTGCACGCAGCCGCGAGGAAACAGTCACCTGAGAGCCAACAGAGCCCCTAACCGGACATGACCGCTACCCCGGGTTGAGCCCCCCAAGGAAGATGCCTCCGGGGAACCCCCCGACGCCCTAAGCCTGTCCCTACCCCCACACCAATCACAACAGTGAAGGCGGGACCAAACTATGACCCCCCACCCCCACTAGGTGATGGAGCTGATCAAAGGAGCCCAGAGCAATTGATCTGATGTGGTGGCAGAGGCTGTATCAAGACTAATGTAATCTAATAGATAATTTCTATATTGGTTAGAATTAAGATTATTTTTATTTTTCCAGTTCATGAGGACTGTTTTCTTGGCTATGCATAGGGCAGTGAAAACCATATGGGCGATATTCTTTTCTGAAGTGACATTATCTAAGCTGCCCAACAAACACACTAAGGGGGAAGTTGGAATGTTACATTTCAGACACTTCGATAAGTCTTCACATATCTCGCGCCAAAACTTCTGAACTGGTGGACAGAACCAAAGAGCGTGGATATAATTGTCCGGTGAATTGGTTTGGCAGTGTGAGCAGTTGTTGGTAGACGTAAAGCCCATCTTGAACAT